GCCCACCCTGCCCAAGGGCTTGCCCTGGGACCTTGGCACAGAGAGCCCTAAGTCAGGCACTTCCCACCCACCCCTCTACCACTACAGAACCCCAATGTTCATCTATGACCTCAACTCTGCCGTAGGCGATGTAGCCTGGGCACCATATTCTTCCACTGTGTTTGCGGCAGTCACCACAGATGGGAAGGTAAGAACCCCTTCTTGACACCAGCTGAGGCTCTGCTGGAGACAGGGTGGGGTGTCTGCAGTATGCACCCATGGCATCCAGGGCAGGCAGGGAAGAAGGTGGGAGCATCAAGGCCAGGCTACCCAAGACCCCATTCTGCAGAACAATGAGTCACCCCATGAAACCCTGAGGAGGGAAGGCAGATATCCATCTTAGGGAATGAGAGTGAAGGCCAGGAGGAAAAAAGGCAGCAAACAAAATTCCCATCATTTTAAATGCTAGGAAGAGGATGAACCAAAGGTGAAGTATGACACGTGTATTCATAACAACCTTATCCTGATAACCAAGAGGTGGGGAAAAAAAAAAGATGCAGGGTCCGTCATGTGATATATGGCTGAAGAAAGTGTAGCACAGCCAAAAGGATGGCTACTTAGCAACAGTGAGGCATGAAGCACCGTCCTGTGCTACTACCTGGAAGGGCACACAGCTCAGCAGAAGTCAGTTACAAACCTCACACACTGAAAGATTTCCATCTGCTTGATGGGTCCAAAATAGGCCACTGATCCAGACAGAAGGTAGACATGTGGTTCTTACCTAAGCCTTAAGGAGGTTGAGGGGAAACGGGGATGGCTGGACACGAGGATTTTCCTTGGGGTAACGAAAATGTTCTAAAATCAGTTATGGAGGTGGTTGCATATATGTGATTATACCAAAAGCCAAGATGTGTGTGTTCTAAATAGGTGAATTTTCTAGTAGGTAAGTTCTATCTCAGTAAAGCTTTCACAGGAAAGAGAGGGAAAGAAAAGGACTGCATGTTCTGTGGGTTGAATGGTCAGGGAAGGCTTTCTGGAAGAAGACATTCAGGATGAGAGGTAAGATGAGAAGAGGCCAGCCATGTGAAGATTGGGGTCAGGATTGAAGGCAGACTAGGAGAGCAACAGGTGGGTTGGATTGTATTTATGGCACCAAGAGACAATGAGGGATGGATTGTAGCCAACTGGTTAGTGGGCTGACCAAATTGTCTAGGTCAGAGCCTGGATCAGGGGCACTAAAGACAAGATCCCTGTCCATTGAGCACCTCCAGAGCAAGCAGCATCTGGGCCCGTGGTATATAGTAAGTGGCTTGCTGCTTTCCCCAGCTTTGCCACTCACTAACTGAGCCTCTAACTTAAACTTAAAGCATGGGGATAGTAATAGAACCACCAAAGGGATACAACCATGCAACATGCCTTCTCAAGAGTGTGGAATACAGTAAGTCCACAATAAGCAGAAGCTGCTAATTGTTGTTAATTCAGTATAGGCTTAAGAATTTCCCCCCAGACTTTTATTTATTGTAACTCCCTCAACCACAGTAGAAACAAACATGAAATTCCCCTTGCCGATGCCTCCAGCTGCAGTATGCCATCTAACAGCCTCCTGTAGTGTTTCCAGAATGTACAGGGGCTGGTTCAGCTGGGAACAGGGGTCTTGAGCACGCTAACAGTGGTCTTGCTGTAGGCCCACGTGTTTGACCTGGCCATCAACAAATATGAGGCCATATGCAACCAACCCGTGGTCGCCAAAAAGAAAAACAAGATCACCCACGTGCAGTTCAACCCCATCCACCCCATCATCATCGTGGGCGATGACCGTGGCCATGTCACCTGCCTCAAGCTCTCACCTAACTTGCGCAAGATGCCAAAGGTATGGGCATTGGGAGTTTGGCGTGGAAGACCCAGACTCAAGGGTGAAGATGGTGTCACTGGGCAAACGAGGGACTTGGGAGGAGAGCAGGCTTGTGAAGAAACAGCAATCAGTTGTTTCATGTCTCGGAGTGTACCTGTGTCACCTAGAGGTGGAGCTGATGGAGATAACCAGGGAGCAGGTGCACTAAAGCAGGTGCATATAGAAGTAATATGGGCTTACTGGGAGTGGAGGATGTTATGGGCACTACAACCGTGCACCCCCAGGCAGCGAGCTGAGCTAATGTTTTGTTGCAGGCTCACACAGGGTTTTAGCCCCAGTAGTCCCCAAGCTGGGAGCTATGTAGCCACATAGGAGAGAAAGAAATGAGCCATGAGGATGGTGAGAACTAGATCAGCTGTTCTCCTTCTGAGCTCTGGCTCCTGTTTCCAGGGTTGGCAGGGGGTATTCAGCAGAACCTGCTCAGAGCTCAAGGACTCCAAACATAGGCCCTGGCATCCAGAGCCATGCCTTCCAAGACTAGACCTGGCTACAGAACCCACACCTCACAGCTTAGGCCTTGGAACCCAGAGCTCAGTTGTGGAGCTGAGTGGAAATGGCACTTTGTTTTCTATTAGGTTCTGGGCCAGGATCAGAGCCAGGCCAAGTTGCCCCGATGACTGATCCTCCTGGTTGCAATTTGAGGCACTTGCTACAGTTTAAGACAAGGGCAAGGGCCTGTTTCTATCAACTACTGACTTCTTCCTACTGTGTCCCTACCAAGATGGACTGCTGCACCATCCTCCTGGTGGGGTTTGGTTGATTTCCCACCATGGGCCAGGGAGACAAGGACTGGGAGTTTGGCCGGGCCTCTAATTGTAGCCAGCTGGGGGGAGGGGGTGGACTTGGCTATAAATATTCGGAAGGCTGCTAAGCGCCTGCAGCTGTGGCCCAGAGGCTGTGGCGGGGCTTGGCGGGTGGCGGTGCCGGGCGTGGTCTGAATCTCTTTGCTGAGCCCAGCTCGTTTGGCCTCAAGAAGAGGGAAGGAGGCAGCACAATTTGTGAAACAGATGGGATCTGGTCTCCATTTAATAAAGGAGAGAGACCAGCAGGCTGAAGCTGGCAAAGCTGGACAACTCTCTGGGGAGAATGACGGTCACTCTTTGGGGAAAAGTGACACCAGGAGTGTGGTAGGCATGAGTGGGAGCCTGCCTTGGCATACTCACCCTGACCCGGGTTCTCCAACTCTCTCCACACAAGGGCCCATTGTGGCTAAGAGAGTTGAGTTCCATGCATCTATGGACCCTCAGCCACCAGCCCCTGTCAGCGTGGGCACCTGGGGCTCTGGGAATCCTGAGCAGAAAACAGCAGTGGGCTGGTATGTGGGTGAACTAGAGTTTCCTGGGAGACTGCTAACCTGACCCTCGCGGTAGCCAGGTTGACTCATGCAAAAAGAAGTCCCTGCAGCCTTTCTCAAGAGGGCCTACCTACAGGGACTGGACTCCCTGCCCAAGGAGTATCCAATGATTGGTGTCAAAGCCCAACAAATCACAGATCAAGAACTGACTTTCCCTAACTACCAGCTGGATGGAGACCCAATACTGAGAAAAACAAGGGACTCACCCAAAGCCATGGAGGGAAACTGACATTGCAGCTGAACTAAAAACCAGGACCCCCCTCCCGACCTCCCGCCGCTTCAACTCCCTGGGGACAAGAAGAAGCCAAGAAGAGAAATGGAATTTAATTGGAATTTAATGGGGGGATGGGGAGTGGAGAGAAAAAGATGCCATTCTGTGCATCTGCTGTGGGGGACTAGGAAGAGAAATTCAGGAACAGGTGTGCTCAAATCCTGTTCTCAAAAGAAAGTCTCAGTTCTGCCCGGCATCAGTAGCCAGGATGGGGCCAGGAAGGTGCTTGATGGTTCTGGACTCTTTCTCCCATTGCACAGGCCAGGCTGGGCTCCTCAGCAGGCCAGGCTGGAGCAGTGCCAGTGAGCAGTGGGCACAGGTGGCTGCGAAGCTGGAGGCCTATGAGTGGAGGGAAGACAGAAAATAACAGCTGCCCAGACTGTCCTAGCACCGACCACACCCTCACTGCCAGAACGGCATGAAGGACTGGCTGGGGCTGATCAGCCAAGGGGTCCTCCAAGCCTGCAAGCCCCTGTGCAGCCCAGGCCTCCCAGTGGCCTCACTCAGGGCCCAATTCAACCAGGGAAGCCTTTGAGTGCTTCTTCAAGGAACAGTAAGGAGTTTGCTCCTCTGAGACAGTCCCAGACAGGGGCATCTGAAGACCCAGGGGATGTCAGCCCACCTGCATGCCCAGGAGCCCTTATGCCTTCCGCCTCCATGACACAGCAGGCCTGCCCCTGAATAGCATCCCGTTCCCAGCCCAACAAGAACATACTAAGTCAAATACTAAGTGAGGGAACCTGTGGCTTCATGTACACCTGCTCCCAAGCGCACACCTATTACCTGCTTGGTGGTAAGAGTCAGTTCGGGACCAAGTTAGGTCCTCCCCTCCCCAGAGCTGCAGCTCCCCCTGGCCTGCAAGGCCAGTGTCGGTGCAGGTCAGGGGATGGATGCCTTGTCTCACTTGTGTTGGTATCAAGACCATGTCCACACAAGGTGCGGAGGCAGAGCTGGACGCCTTCTCACAGGCCCTCATCTGGGTCGGTCTCTGTGTTACCTGGGTTAGGGCAGAGGGAGGAAGTGACACAGTAGGGGCAGGCTGGGCAGAGGAAGTGGCTGTCTGACCTACACCATCTCTTCTACATTTGTTTCCTGTCCTCAGGAAAAGAAAGGGCAGGAGGTGCAGAAGGGTCCAGCTGTGGAGATTGCAAAACTGGACAAACTGCTGAACCTGGTGAGGGAAGTCAAAACTAAGAGCTGAGGGCGTGGCCGTGTCCCAGGCCCAGTTGTTGAACTCGATCCTCCTGGTACCTGACCCTGGGCTGCCCCTCAGCTGGGCCTTGGCACCATGTGCCCCTACCCTCTATCCCAGTCCTAGAATCTGCCCTTCTCGTTCTGTTCCTTAAGGTCCCAGCCCCTGACCCCGGACCTTCACCACCAACACCACTGCCTTACTCTGCACAAATAAACCTGTATCTGGAAGCCCACCCACCCCTTTAATTTTGCTACCACAGGGCCCTGAGGAAGAGGAGAAAGTCTCAGTGTAGAGCCATAGTTCCATTTATTATCCAGCAAACAGCGGGAGGACCAGGAGAGGGGCCCAGCCTAGACACCCTCCTATTATTGCCACAGGCTCCAGTTTGCTTCCCCAACCCAGAAGGCTAGAGGTGCTCATGCCCCCGGGGCAAGGACCAACCCAGCCACCAGCCCTGGGGATGGAGCAGAGTCCAGATGGCCCTGGTCCTAGCACCAACTCAGGAACCCCCAGCCCAGGCCCATCTCCCTAGGACCTCCTGAGCCAGTCTTGTAGCCAGGGCTTGGCTAGACTATTGGGTTCAGCTCGGAACAGGCTGGCCTCTGGGATCCTGGTTTCCAGGCTCTCGGGTGGGCAGGCTTAGGTTCCAGGCCAGGTTGGGGACCTTTAGGGCTGCAGCAGGTAGCTGCCTTCATGGCTCAGCTTCTGGGGCGGAGGTGCCTTCTCAGGGCAGGGGCCCGGGCTGGAGTTGGGACTGGACTCCGAGAGGGAGTCGACGTCGACGGAGCGAGAGTGGCAGGCCCAGCAGAGGATGACCCAGAGCAGCAGCAGCAGGAAGCCAACGAGGCCGTTGCAGACGATGGCGATGAGGGCCCCCTGAGAGATGGCTGCCCCCATGACGGGCAGCGCCCCGCCCCCCTCTCAGACCAGCACAGACAGCTGAGCTGCCTCGATGGCAAGGCCCATGCTGAGGTGGGACCGCAGGGTGGCCGGCCTTCCAAGGAGGCTGTCCTGTCGAGCACCCTCGGGGGTTCCTGCGCCCTGGAGATGTCTCCCTGTGATCCCAAGCCTGTGTGTGGAAGCAGTCAGACCAAAGGACAGCATGGTAAGTATGTGGGTAGGGTGCGGCAAGGCCTGGAAGACAGGTAGGGAGCAGATTCCTCCCACCAACAGCTCCCAGACCCCTGGTATCTCTTGGGTCCCAGCAGAACCTGCACCCACAGCCCCAGGCATGGCTCCAGACACCTGCCCATCCAGGGTTGGCAGCGCCCTCCAAAGCACTCTGTTGGTGGGTGGCACTGAGGCAGCCCAAAGCCTCAGGAGGAGGAAGGAGTGTGTCCAGCTCCTGTGTGGCCTGGGCACCTTTCTCTCTCTCAACTCCAGCCAAGAAACGTCCCCAGGCGGATCACACAGAGGCAACTTTGTGGAGGCCCCAGCAGGCATGTGTGGAGTCTGTGGCGCCAAGGCTGTCTACCCCGGTGCATCTCCCTGAGGGACTTGGACAGGCTGGGTCAGGTGTGTGTGTCCTACTCTGCCGGCTTCTGCCTCTGCATACCCACCTCTGGATGTGTCTCCGTGTGTCTCCACCTCCTGAGTGTCTTTCTCAATCCCCGGGTGGTGTGCACACCAATGGACGTACCTCCCCCTCCGCTGTGGGTCTGGGTCTGTGGGCTCCTGAGTGTGTGTGTGTGTGTGTGTGTGTGCGCGCGCGCGCGCCTCCCCAGCCCATCTCTGCCTCCGTGTGGGTGTGCACCTCTCTGATCTCCGTCTCTGGGTCTCGGTTCCCCGCGCCCGCGGTGGGAGATCCCACCCCGCCAGCCCCATCACCACCACCATCTCTCCTCCCCTTACCTGGGTTGAGCCCGGAGCACGCCCGCGGGAAGCTCCGGGGCAGCGGGATGCTCCGGCACCTGCGGCCAGGGGGGCAGCGCGAGGCAGCAGGCGGGCAGAGGCGACGTCCGCTCCTCCACCACCGCCAACCCCCCCAAGCCTCGCCGGCCCTCCCCCTCGGCCGCGCAGCCTCCGCCGGCCGCTCCCGCCGCGCCGCGACCGGGGCGGCCTCTGCCGCGGGCGGTCTGCGGCGAGCCGGCACCTCCTCCTCCTGGGGCGGGCGCCTCCTCCTCCCCCTCCGCGGCCGCGCGGCCGCTGGCTCGGACGGCGGCGGCGGGAGCGGCGGGAGCGGGCGCGGGGTTCGGCTGCGCTCGGGCGAGCTCGGCGGCCGGTCGGCGGCGCTCGGCAGAGCTCGGCTGAGCTCGGCCAGCGGCGGAAAAGAGCGGCGAGCCCCGCCTCCCGGGTGGCCGGCCGCCTGCGGCCCCGTGCGGGGCGGGACTGTCCCCTCCACCGCCACCCCGCGCTGCTGCCGCCGTGCGATTGGCTGGGCGCGCTGGGCTGTAGCGCCATTGGCCCTGCGCTGGGGGTGGGACGGGTCCACCCCCTTGTGCTAGGGCGGGGCGGGGAGGGAGGGATGCTGAAGGGGCTACTTTGTCCAGATCCATCTCGGGAGAGGGTTGGGGCGAAGCCTATCTTCCTGCAGGAGTATCTGGAAAAGCTGCGCACCCAACACTTGAGGGAGGCCCGAGGTCTCTCCCCCACCCCGCATGTTGGAGGGGACCACCCTGCCGTATGTGGGTCCATCTTCTCAAGGAGTGGCTGTGTGTGGGTCCGCACCCTTGAGAGGAGAAGCCTCCTGTAGCCCGGCCCATCCATCTTCCCACGTAGGCGTGGTGCTCTGCAAACCCGCTAGAAAGAGTTTGCATTGAGCCCACATCCACACCCCCACCTTGGGAGGTGGGAAAATTCACTTGTCCACACCAAGTTCCCTGATCATGAAGTATGCAGTTCCCAGCGGGTGCAGGTAGCAGGCTTGCTGTGCCCTGGGGAAACCTAAAGAGGAAGGAAGTGGGGAGCCCCCGCTGGAGCCCCGGTCCATGGTGAGGGCTGGGCTCCATCCAGCCTGGTCACTGCCATGGACAGCAAGGGGCCAGCAGTAAGGACGGCCTTCCTCTCCCTCACCCTCAGCAGCTGCTGATTCCTAAGTCCTGATCTGGGCCCATCTTCTCATCTCACTCAACATCTGCCCTGTGGTCAGTCACACCCCTGACAGGAGAACTTGAAGGATCCCAGAGATTCCAAATCCAGCCTTGGCATCTGTCTGGAAATCCAGACTCCATACTGTCAGATACTTACTGGAGTTGACCTGGAGGTAGCATAGGGTTGGCATGCGTGACATTGCGCAGGTTCCTTAACCTCTTCTACATCCCTAGGATGGTTATTGTAATAGGGACCTACCTTTCGGGATTGCTAAACATGGGTTCACTGTCCATGTTTAGCAAATGCCACAAATGTGGACACACAAGCCCAAGGACCACATGGCTAAGGGGAATTTCAGTGCCATGAAATTCACATAAGACCCTCCCCCTCAAAGATTCAAATGATAATATGAAAAAAAAGGGAAAAGGGAAGAATAAAATATTACAAAGCTACTTCTTCCACAGCTACTGACATGCTTAGAGACCATCTGAAATAAGTGACCAGAGCCCACAGAGTTTCTGAGACAGCACATCCCTGCTGTCCACCCAGTCATGACGCAGGTGAGAGTATGGTGAGAAAGAGGCGATGGGCAGAGAGACTGGAGTTACGGCACACTGGAGTGTCATGTGGGTGGATTTTGTGACCCAGCTGTGGAATCTGTAGTCTATCCTGAGAACACTGACAAATCTCAAGCAGAAGAGTAATGTGTTGCTATCCCCAAATCAGGTGGTTTGGGCTGCGGAGTGGCAGTGGGGATTGAAGACAAAGAGTGATGGTGAGGGACTGGAATGATGGGAATTGCATGGGAGTGATCTGGAGAGCAGGAGGGGTGGGGCAAGTCTGAGCAGTGGCTTAGGCTGGCACCTAGGAAGATTGTGATGCCCTTGGCTGGAATTCCCGGAAGGAGTTGGTTTGAGCAGGGCACCAAGGCAAGGGCCTGATGCATTCAGTTTGGGCTGCACTGAATTTGAGAACACCCAGGTGAGAATGTTCAATGGGTAGCTGGCTGTTTAGGTGTGAGCTTCAGGTAAAAGGTCCTAAAAATAACTTCTGAGAGTAATCAGCAAGAGTTATAGTTAAGCCAGAAAAGGAGATGCACGCAGCCAAGGACAGTGGGAACTGGGTTAAACAAAGAGACCTTGATAATGGAACATTGGGACCTAAAATGGCTGCGACTGAGAGACTGAAAGGCCTCCAGGGTTCTCTTTCCACCTCTCGCTCTGCTGTCTTCTTGCAGTTCTGCTGCGTTTACCCTCTACTCCATGTCATTCCCACCCCAGAATGGCTTCCAGTGCCCTTCAGACAATCCCAAAGCTCAGCAGTCAAAGAGAGATGGACGTTTATGATACCTATTGCTGCTGCTACTTGGAAGGTACTTTGCAGATTTCTGGGGAGGGACTCCAATGGGCCACACTGAGCCAACCTCAGTTAGATGCTGAACTTCGGACCAGTCAGCAATGGTCAAGGGGTGAGAATCAAGCCAGTGAACCTAGCCTTTGTGGTTAACCCTCATAGAAAGTATGGCAGAGGGCTTCCAAGAGAGAGAGGGACGATGAACAAACCACATGGCCACAGTTCAGCACAGTCTACCCTTTGTTTGCCCAACCCATGCACGTCATTTCCTGTCTGTGTAGCTCAGAACAATGCCATCAGCTACAGCACCCAGCCAGCACATGATGCACATGTTGGTGAAGTCACCTCTAACACAGGGCCACCCAGCGACACATGCAGCTGCTGCTTCTGGAACTTCTGTTACAGGTGACTTCTCTTCCTCAAGCAGGCCTTCTGTTCTTCAGGCAGTCATTCTCTGGGTAATATTCCTTCATGCTCTTAAGGCTCCAGGAAATGTGGGCATGTTTTCCAAAAAAATCCATTTTCTTTTAAAAATATTTATTTTGAAGGCAGAGTTACAAGGAGAGACAGATCTCGTTGATGGTTCGCTCTGCAATGGCCACAACAGGACCTGGACAGATGCCCATGTGGGATGCTGTGTTGCAAGTGGTAGCTTAACCCACTGCGCCCCAATGTTAGAACTCTTCATTACCTTTCAGTTGCATTTGTACCACCTTTTCAAGGGGACCCCCTCCAAAAAGAAGAGTCTTGTTTCTTAAAATATATATATATATATACATAATTTTTATTTTTATTTCAAAAGGCAGATTTACAGAGAGAGAAGAGTCAGAGAGATCTATCTGTTGGATCACTCCCCATATGGCCACAAAGGTTGGAACTGGGCTGGTCCGAAGCCATGTGCTTCTGGGTCTCCCATGTGAGTGTAGGGGCCTGAGGACTTGGGCCATGTTTTGCTGCACATTATTAGCAGGGAGCTGGATCAGAAGCAGAGCTGCTGGGACCTGAACTGGTACTCAAATGGGATGCCAGCATCACAGAGGCCCAATGCGCCATGCCACAGCACCACCCCCCCAAAAAATCTTGATATTTACAGAGGAAAGAAATGGAAAACAAAATGGAGTGAAAAGGAAATACAGAAAATTGGTCACTAATTCACAGTACTATCTGAGTTTGCTCAGATAACAAATAACAACACAATGGAACTAAAAAAATCTCATGGCCTCTGTTGACTGACTTGTTTGGCTGGGTCAGCCAATCTGGCTTTGCCATTGATATGGAGTCTCCTGCCCTGGATTCTGAGATGGCTCTTGTGGAGGATTTGTCTGTGTGACACAATCCTGATGGGTGCCACACTTCCTGGTGCTTAGTGTTATCCTGGGCCTGAGCAAGGTTCTCTGTGTTATGAGGACTGGAGCTGGGACTCTGCCCCTCCATACACACGCACACACACACACACACACACACACACACACACGGAATATACAGATGAGATAATTCTTTTAAAACCATGATCAGCTTCTCGGCCTTTTGGCTAAGATCATGTGTAGTAAAACCATGATCAGCTGCCTATCAGTTTCATTTGAGGGCTTCCTTG